GTTTTGCATAAATTCTATGAGCATGATAACTTTTTTTAAAATAAATTTAACACAAGAGCAGGTAGTATAACATAGCGCCACCACATAAATGACACATTGTACTAATAAACTTACGATGTAGTATAAAAAAATCACAATACAGAACTTCCATTATTTAACTTCTAGGCGATCCAATACACATGCCCATTTAAACTTAGCAATGAGAAAATTTACGAAGTTCCAAAAAAAATTTATATCGATTTGAACTTCCTTAAATAAATTTTAAATAAATTTTACACAAGTTGAGTGGGTAGCACAACGCAGTGTTACTACAAAATTTTTGAGCAAAAATTTACTAAAGATTATTAAAAAACTTACCACCAATCTTTGATGAGAACAATAGATTGTATATTTTAGTATAAAATTATTGTATTGCAAAATTTATTCATATAAAGTTATTAATTTATTATTTTTCATATGTTATAGTTGACTATATCTATAACATAAAATTATTTAAATTGTCATTCAAATGTTATATTTTTCATGGATTATTCTTATATGTTCTTACCATGAAAAATTGTCACTATTGCTTTTCACTAGGTATCTCTAAAGTCACTTAGCGTTGGAATTTAAACCCATCACGCAAGTTAATGAGGCAACACAATATATCAACGTGACCAACATATCTAAGGGCATCCTATGATTTTCAACGCAAAAATTACATCTTATTATAATATTTGATGGTGCACCTTGATTGTTGAAGGTTTCGAACTTATTTACGGCACACCCTTATTAAAAACCTTCTAATTTAGTTTAAAATGATTAAAATTAGGTATGGATCACGTGGATTCCGCTAAAACCAATTAATACATTTTTATTATTTTTTTTGGAGTTTTCCTAATTTTATTTAATTTTCTTGAGTTTATAGTCCACTTGGACTCGTCCCCAGTAGCTCCACTTGGGACTCCACTCAGGACTTCCGTAATAAGGATTTGGAATTATACAAAAGGATGTGCTGCTCCTGTGGGAACATACATTCTCCATCGGGTGGCATGGATGGATATAAAGCACAACGATTAACGTCTTGAGAATACATTTTCAATTTGCAAGAATTATCTGCTTGGATAAAATAATGTCTCGATAAAGAACAAGGACCGTCCAAATTTCAGAGGCCAATATCTAAGCTCAAATTCACTTCTTCTTTTGTTTCAAAATAATTATCTAGCTATTTTTAGTTCGTTCCCTAAAACTCGAAAAACAAATATAAAGTAAATAAATCTCTTGTACAATGAGGGAATTAATGTTTAGGTAGGGTCCCTTGGAATTAAGAGAATCCATTCCAAAATAAAATGTGAATACGAACAATCAACCAAAATACCACCTAAAATATAAATAAACATTTTTTCTTTACTTTTGCATTCAAGATATATTGTCGCGGATTCGAGCAAGGATCCGTAGCTTTGATTCATCATCGTGGTAAATGGCGAAGCAAATTTTATGCACCGCTGCTTTCAGATTGAACAATTTGGTGATCCCCTTCCAACCTTCCTTGATCACCAATTTGTGTGATATTTCACAAGTCTCGAATCTCACTTGTCTCTCTACCACGCTCGCTAAATCCCCTATAATCCTTGGAACGGAGATCCCATCTTTTATAGCCCTTCTCTCCCAACGATTTGTATTCCACATTAGTGATTCCACACTTTCCTTTAGAATCCTCAAGACAGGACGACGTGGGTGGACGTCCTCAGACATGATCACCTTATTAAACCAAGGGTTAGTCCAGTATCTTCTGACCAAGTCGACTGCATTCAAAAACAAATAAAAAATGAATATATATCTCTCTCTGTATATGAGTCTCTCTTCTCTCTCTTTTGAAAGGAAGTAACATGAAATCAGCTCCTTTCTCTCTGTATGTATAATTCTTTCTCATGTTTTGGCCAAAAGAAAATACTCACCTATTATTTTCACGGGCAGCTCTGATGGGTTGGCAACAAAAGAAAATACTCACCTATTATTTTCATGGGCAGCTCTGATGGGTTGGCAACAATCTCAGCAAAACTTTCGGGGCAAATTTTGGCCTCCAGCTTTTCCTCCTAGCAAGACCTCTCACCCGAAGCTCCCCCTTTTTTCTCCGCAAACAAACGCTCCCACCGGTGCATACTGCACGCCTACTCCATAGGGCAGACGACCTACTATGGAGGAGCTTCTTTGGAATATGAAATTTTGGGTACCACCAAAGGCAAAGAGTCTTTAGACGATTAGAGAAATTATATAAATAATATACATAAATATTATAATTTACAAACGGCCCCGTTAGTAAAATACGGGATGCAAAGTAGGTCCGTCAACCCGACCTTTTTTTTTTTTTTTCCTAAAATTCTCCTCGGTTTGACGATGATATCCTAGAACCGAATTTTAATTTGTAATTTTAATTTTTAATTTTAATTTTTAATTTTAATTTTTATTATTTCTTTAGTAGGGTAATACCCTGAGTTTTAGGGGCACTCCCCAGGTAGTTCGACGTTGGAATACTCAGACTATTCCTTCTCTATGTTTATAGAAAACAATAGCTCCGAAGATGAGAACCTCTTACTGTCCCGTAAAGTGAGTGGAGCTCAGCTTTAGGGTGGTCCTAAGTCCCTATCTTCGGACCTCATATTATTTTTGAAAGAAAACCACGGTCCAAGAATTTGAACCTCGGACTGCTATTTAGTTTTTGAAAAGAACCTCGGTACGAGAATTGGAAACTCCGACCGTGCTCTGGAATAAGCACTACTCAAATCTAACTTTGTCCGAGCTCTCCATCCTCGGATCGCCCTATGATCCCGTATAAACAAGATAACCCTTTTTTTCTCTATCTTTCTCGCTCTCGCTCTAGCTCTCGCTCTCACTCTCTCTCTAAACCGTTGACTAGCCCAGCTATAGACGTGAGGATTTCCAACAGCATTGTGGTGATTTCAACGAGATTGAAATAATCAGGTGAGTTTTTTTCTTTTTTTTATTTTTTTTCTCTTAGACAATTTTTTAAAAACTTGGATTCTTAGTTTTTAATCTTGAGTGTTTGAACTGTGAAGTTGCATTGAGATGACTAAGGTTTTTAAAATCTATAATTTGACCTCAAAAAAAATAAAAACAAATATCACTAAAAATCATGAATTTCATTTTTTAATAGTTTTTTTTGTTTGAAATCTCTTGGAAAATCAATGGTTTGTTTATTGTCATTTGATCTATACATGTAATAATTTAGTTATACAAAATATTGTTTATTTAATTGTATATTATTTCATTATTATTTTGTTTAATTGTTATTGTGTTTATTACTTATTTGTATTTCTTAGATTTGTAAACACCCTATTTTAAAAAGGAAAACGTTTATATACGATTGCACCCTTATATGTAGAACTACGGATGTACCTCAAAAATCCATTGGAAAAGGTTACTTTAATGTTGAAAAACCTTTTGATTGATCATCTCGACATCGAGATGTATGATCATGAAAATTAAAAATATTTTAAGTTTCAGAAATAGTGCATTTTAAAACATATTATCTACACCGTCCATTTCAAGATTTTCATATGTTTATAGATCTACTTGATTTTAACCATTTTTAAAATTTAAAATTTTATAATTAGAAATAAAAATAGATTTTGAGATAATCCTAAGAATATTTTACATCAAAATTATATACCATGATAAAATTTGAAGGTGCACCTTACCTCTACACCTATGGATGCATCCGTATGCTGACTGCACCCTTTAAAGAATGTCTAGAAACTTGTCCGGTATTTAAATATATTTTTTAAATATGTTAAATATATGGGAAAAGTTTATATAGAGCCGAGGCTCTAAACAATCAAATTTGAGCCTACATCAAAAATTTCACTAGAAGAGATTGTTTTGATGCCCAAAGATTTTCAATATTGAAACCTCATTTCTCGACACTATGGTATGCTCTAATTTGATTGTTTAGATCCTAGGCTCTTTACAAACCTCACCCTAAATATATACATGCATTATTAAATATTATAACTAAAAACATATAGTTATATTTAATTAAATAGTATTTATTAAATTTTATTAAAATATTATTTATACATCAAATAAAAATGCTATATAATATATATTATATCATAAATATCTATTATATAATAAAATAAATGGTGATAAAGACTATTATATATTATATCACAATATATGGGTGTGATTTTTATAAGGTTGCAACCTTATATAAACTTTTTCCTTTTATATATATATATATATATATATATAGCACACTAGCTCATATGAATATATGAGCTCAAAGGTCCATATTGAATCTGGGCCGATCTGACGGTCAAGAACGCATTTTATATGTGAATTTTAATTTTTTTTCTACGAATCCAAATAATTTTAAATTTTAGGCGTCCATTCTTCTCATCAAGGCGCACCTAATAAAAATATTTTAAAAATAATTCGCAAAACATAAATTAACCAAAATACCTTGAAATATTTCAAGGGCATTTTGGTCTCTTTATTCTTTATAAATCATTTTTTTGATATTTTTATTAGATTCTCTTTTTTTTGAATAATGCTCCGTAAAATTTCAAATTATTTGGATTCGTAGAAAAAAAATTAAAATTAAAATTAAAATATAAAACGAAATCGAAACTATCAAATTGGCTCGGAGTCGATCTAGGTTGTTTGGCTAAAGTGAATACATGTGTGCGCTATAAGTTAGTGGGAAAGATGAGGAATGCGACTGTCGCGTACTCCCAACGGTCATGATTTTGGGACTTCAATCTGACGGTCAGCGTTCAAAAACCTTCTCTCTCACTCAATCGTCTGAAACTCTAATAATTTCCCCTCTTTCTCACTCCATCGCCTGACATCTATCAATGTTCTCCCTCCCTTTATCTCTCTATGCACTCCTCTCTCTCTCTCTCTCTCTCTCACTCTCACGATGCACGCCTCTGCCCACTGTACTCTCTCTCTCTCATCTCTACTGCCATTCCCCTACTCCCCCCCCCCCCCCCGTACCTCCCTCAATCTCTTTGAAACTCGACCTTCTCTCTCAATCTCTCTCGAGCCTACCCCTCTCTGCTGTACACCCCGTCTTTGAGGTTGATTTCTACTTTGAGGCCATTTCTGGTATGAATTCATCCTTTTCTTCATCTATTTTGAATCTGAAGCATATTGCAGTAAATGAAAATGTGTTCATACATTTTTTATTTTTTTTTGAATTAATGAAATGCCTAATGAAGCCAAGGCCACTAAAGGACTAAAACATCTTCCTTCGTCTGCTGGATATCATAGTGTTTGTTTACAGAAAGTTGGAGGAAATTCTGTGAAAGCCCTATCTTTTAAAGTCCGAGCATGGAGAGTATGATTGATTTTCTTTGTGTTATTGCAGAGGTTTTCCTTTTTATTGTTTTGTCTATGGTGTTGTTGGTTTTTTATAGCTATATGTATTCGAAAGGGTACTGTAGAACCATATTTATTTTCATGAGTATGTGTTGGTTGAAAAAATCTGTGTAATTTAGTTTTCCTGCAGTTCATCCTCTTTTCCCTTTTTGTATATTAAGGTAATGGGTATTGTTGCTTCCAAATAAATTAGAATGGGAACGTCTCTTTCTCTACCCCTCTTCCTCTCTCTTCTGTCATATTTATTCTTATTTCTTTCTTGTTGGTGACTATTAAAAGTGCAGGTTAAAAGTGTATTAATTCACAGAAATAGAACTTGTGATTCCATCAATTTCATTTAGGTGGCCTGTTTCCAGTCAGATAAAAAATACTTTGGGATTTGTTCTATCAATTTCCAGTCCGTTTCCCTTTTGCGTTGTTTGCTTTGAAACGTATTTCCCCCTAACTTTTGCTTTCTTGTCTGCATCCATCGTCTCAATGGATTATGTTAATATTTGATTTCCAGATTAATTATTTTTAGGGTTTGCTTATGGTTTTGTTACTTTCCGAGTTCCTTGATTAATCGCACACAACTTTTCTGATTACTTGAGTTTCTATGGTCCTATTTTGTACCCTGTTTACTTTTCAGATAATGGGATATCTTTCTATTCTTTTGTCAAAATTACTTAGTCATTTATTAGCACTAATATGCCTGATTAATGATATTACATTTTTACCAATGGGTAAAGCACCCATTCTCCTCAATTACTAAATATGATATTACACATTTATGCAGAAGAAATAAAGGGTTACAATTAATCACCAGCAGCATCTGCTTTCCAACAAGTTAATATGGCCCATACTCCTCTACCGACCACAAACTCAAAAACGGACAAATCATAGAGGCATTTCTCTCGCATCCACCATCCATTCCCAATTTGAGATGGTCAATATTTAATGTACCTCTCCGTGGCTGATATATGTTAAGTATAATTAATTACATCATCGACCAAAAGTCCATACACCTCAAAGATGATGCAGCACACGCACAATACACCAAAGAATGTCTCCCAGAATTTTAGAAATTCAATGGTCACATACAATTGATCCATTCTCAATTGTGCAATCTGATTGTTGAAATGCAGTTTCGAAGAACCCTGCAACTCCACCTACACCTTTGGACTCAAGAGAGGGTGGCGAAAATTGGACAATCATGTCTCTAAGAGTCACCATGCCCACCACCCTTTGGCCATCATTCATAATAAAGAGGCAATCGTTTTTCGACTCTGCCACTTTCTCCATGGCTTGTTTTAGCGTGTCTGAAAGTCTGTTGGTCACTGGATTTCCCATTTTTGTAAGAAAATGGCTTTTTATGCGGAGAGCTCCTGCAGAGAAGAGAGCCCCTAGCTCTCTTTCAATGGGGTCCAAAGGGGCTAAGCCTGAGTTCTCGTTTCTGGCATCGAAGTTGATGAATTCTTCCATTGTTAGCTTCCTGGGCACAAAATGCAAATAATTAGAGAATGTAGAGGTTTTCCTTGTCACTGAGAATAATTCAAGACTATGGATCTGACTATGTACTCAGTTGCTCATCTTTCAATAGTTAAATGGAACCTTCACTTGTTCAGAATACTGGATTAGTTTCTAAAAGACACAAAAGAAAAGAACTGACTTGGACATAAGCTTCTTTATGTTCAAATACCAATTGCATGTAATAATATTCACCCCCCTCCAACTACCATAAACTTTGTCACATACACGCTGGAACTATTTAAGCTTCAATTGAGGTTGATTGTGGAGATCAGCTTCACTTTGTATTTCGTATGTAAAGCCTTCTATACATTATTACCGGAAAGAAAAAGGGGGGAGTATGCAATTCTAAAATACTAACTTCCGGTTTTTAAAGATGTCATCATTGTCAAGTAGAAGTCGGACATCTGTGCTCCTGAAATTTCCAATCAGTCTTTCAGTTTTGGAGTCAAGGATGGGGATGCCACCTATTCGATTCTTCCACAGACAGTGCAAACCTTCCGCTACACTCTGATCTCCATGTAAGTGAATCACAGGGCCCCTTTTCTCGTACCTAAGAAATAAGAAAATTTTGATTAAAGCTACAGACACACATACATTAAGTTGTTACATATAGACAATGTGCGTCTGTATGCGTACGTGATGTATTCTAGTATGGATTCTTCCTTTTCCACCTGCCTACAGACAAGCTAGCAACCCGCATGTTTTCTTGCAAAATATCATAATTGTATTCCAAAAGATTACTTCTTTGTGCTCATACATTTTAATGTTATCAAGCATGCATGAAATATGTTTAATTTAGAAATAAAGTTTTCATGGGAAAAGCTAGAAAAATGAAAGAGTCATTTGAATACCCGAAGTCGGAGAGAGGCTTGTTTGCAATGCTATCAAACCATTCCAAGCCACTACAGTGAAGTAATAGCTGCACAGCTGCATGCTGAAATCATTGAAAATCACAACATTAACAAGAAACCAATAAAAGTTGAAATGAATATGAAAGTATATAAAACATCAGACATCCCCCTAAGGATACAATTGTGCAGAATCCACTGGTCATCTCTTGATGGACAGTGGTTGTGGATAGCTTTGTATGGTCAGACCACATCAGCCTGTCTTATCTCCACCATCCATCAACCACGTATGGCATATTCCCTCCTAGGGGGGAATTAGCATATCATATAAAGAGAAAATAAAACATGGTGTAAGAGAAAGTGTTCAATTGGAGGAAGTTTCAATAAAAATAAGATCCCAAATTCTCGATTTTAAGAAAATTGTGATGTCAAATCTGAAGTTTGAAGCCAGTTTAAGCCATCTCAAAGAAAACTAATACTATGTAGGAATGGGCTTTAGGCTTGGTCGCAGCGTAGCGGGTTGCCATTGCATGACATCCCGAGTTCCATTCTTACCATGAGTAGGGGACCCTATCTCCGCTAAACTACGCAAAAAAAAAAAACTAATAATATGTCATTTTAATGGTACCGGGGAAATCTATTTTTTTACTTATGTATAGATTTAAGAGCTCCATTTCACAGCACCCCATGGCTGAATGACTGAAAAATTGAAAGTGAAACTAAAAAATTGAATATCATGGGGAGAGGAAAACTTGAAGAATTTACCTGTGTAACAAATCCAACAATTCGAGAATCTGACCGGTCAATCACTGGAGCTGCCTTTAGTCGGTGTTTGGATAAAAGTAGCAAGACATGAAGTAGAGAGTCACTCAATTGCACTGGGAGGAAGGGACCCCATCGGAATGTCCTCGCCAGTTCGCCAATCTGTAAACATGGTCATATAGTGCTTCAATCTCCATCTGTGGTTATGGAACAAGGGACTCACACAACCATCCAATCACCCATGCATATGTGCATGCGCACACACACATAAATATCCAAAAATACATTCAAACAAGTGCACATACACCCAATTTGAAGTTTGGCATCATGGCTTAGTGGTTAGCTCATAAGGGCCATACCACTAGATCAAGGATGTCACAGCTCCCATACCTCCATAAAATAAGAAAACTAAACAAAATATATGTACCATTTTACTATGCCAGTGATTCAAGTTATTTTGGATAGCTAGAGTTCATGTCAAATTTAATTTTAAAAAATGTTGTTGTCCCATTAAATTTTTTGGAAAATTAGAGCTTAATGCAGTTTGCACAAGAAGGATAAATTAAAATTGCGGCTAAGTTTTTTGAAAATTCCAGACAAGTCGGAGCATTGAAACTTGTTTATTCACTTAAATTTGGCCGAAATTTTCTGAGCTTCCATTCAAATATTTAATGTTAAACAGTTGATGCAACATTTATTTGACTATATATTTTTGGATCAGCAAGCATCAAATTCAAACCCACAACCTTTAATGAAGACTGAGAGCCACAACTCACTGAAGCTTTGGTAAAGTATTAACTGTAATAGAAACAAAATTCAAACAAGATAGAAAAGTGACTTACTATTTCCTTTTGTGAGGAGAATGTAATAAGATACGAAAGAGTATATTACATGTAACAATATAGGAAAGTTACAATATTGTATTATCATTATATATATATAATGAAAGAACCACCACAAGAATAGTGTGGGACATAATTATTTTTTAAAAACTTCTTCTCTTTCTTTATGGTATCAAAGCGATCATCTGTCCCAACCTCAAGTTCGTGATAATTTCTCCTTTATCTCTCTCAATACTAAACTCTCCATCCATTACATATCGTGTTTTTCAATTTTTATCTTGCAATAAAAAACTTGGCCTTGCAAACCTTCTTCCCTTTGCAATTTCTCTACGTCCCTTTTCAATGCACGGGTTTCTTGAAACGGCCATCACTTGCTGCCTCTAATCTGAGGTATCTTCTTCCATGTTAATTATAGGCCTAATTTGACCGAAAGGAGCAATAGCCATTACCAGTTTCTCTCTTTCTAATTTTTCCTTTTAAAAACCCTCTCCCACCATTGCTTTTACTCTTACGGTTCGCCTTTGGCTCTCTCTCTAGAAAATTATCACTAGCTTTCTCTCTCTCTTAGTTATCTCTAGAATATTATCCTTCCTCCATCAAATATCTTTTCATTCCAATGGACATTTCATCCTTATCAAACAAGTATCCCTATCCCTTCACTCTCAATATAGAAAATTTTGTGTTTATTAAATTGACAGAGAAAAACTACTGGTTATGGGACCCAAATGATGTCTTGATTGAGAGTCAGGAACTTTCTGGATTCATTAATGGTGATTGCCCTACACCAAGTCAAAAGATTACTTCTCCTAATTGTAAGAGTGAAATCAAAAACCCAGACTATAGATTATGGTTAAAATTCGACCGGTTTCTTTAAAGCCTAGATCATATGGACATTATTACAAGAGTGTCTTAACCTTATTGTTGGTCTCAAGACTTCTGCAGAAGTTTGGTGCCTAAAGAATACCTATGTAGGTCATTCTCAAGCTAAGGACTTTTAACTTACCCAGCAACTCCAACTCTACAAGAAAGAGAATTCAACCCTGTCAAAATACATATCCAAATTCAAGAATACGTGTGATGATTTAGCTATTATTGGCAAACCTTGTACCAGAAGAAAATAAGGTATTTTGGCTTCTTGATAAACGTGGTCCAAATATGAGAGTTTTGCTACCACTATGCTTAAGCTTATGATTCTTTCATATTCTAAAATTATGCCCCTTCTTCAAAGCCATGTGTTTATACTCGAAATTCCAGGCGGGGGACTTTACCCCCGCTTTGGTTTTGGGTACAAACAAATCGATGAGTTAGAGATTGGGTCCCATCAAATTACATTTCGAGAGAGAATCGGGTCCTCGGGCCTTATCCCTCTCGGATCACCGATAAAGTCGGCTTCCCTCCTATCTTAACCTTGGAGCTCAACAAAGAAAGCTTTCGAAAAAGGCTTGAGATAAAAGAACAAGGAAAATAAGTATAGAAAGAGAACAAAGGAAGAGAACCACAACTATACTAGGGAAATATAAATAAATAGAAGTAACTACTAAATGCAATAAAAATAAGAAAATAAAAAGCATGGAGACAAGGGAATAAGGCTTATCTAAACATGCATAACATAGAATGAAAGAGAGAGAGAGAGAGAGAGAGAGAGAGAGGAGACTATAGAGATGCAAGCATGAGTATGAAGAAGGAAGGAGATGAGATCCTCATCTATGAGGTAAAAGATAATATTATAACATAGAAGGGAATAAAATGAGAGAAATGAGCAAAAAAACTAACGCTAATATACAACGTGCAATAAGACTAATAAACTAGATGCAAAAAAGAGATACAAGGAAAGATCGTTTGGAAGAATGCTAAGATAAGTGAAATCGAGAGAAATAGAGAATGAAGCATTAAAAAGAGGAAAGATGAGTAGATGAACACAAGTTACTATTAGAGTATAATAAAGGACAAGAAAAGTAGATACAATAAGAAGAGAATAAGAGAGATTAAACTATTGGATAAAATATAAGGGACATAAACTACATAACTATAGGAGGAACAAAGAGAAGAAAGGGGATAAAAATAGGTGAAATCTATACCATAGGATAAAAAGAGGATGATGAGAAGGGGAATGAAAGAAATGAGAGCGATGAGAGAAAGAAAGGAAACAGAAAGTAAAGATCTCTAATTAAAATGGGAAGAACATAATGAAGAAAAGAAAATGAGCATTAAATAGAAGAGATGAGAGAGGGAGAAGGGAAAGAAACATAAAGAAATAAGACCTAGCTTATAAGATAAAAGAAATTAAGAAAAAAAAAAAAGAGTAGCTACGATTCTCTGGAGAGCATAACAAAGAAGAGAAACCAAATACTAAATGGAAGAGATGAGAAAGGGGAAGAGGAGAGTACCTATGCTATCAAATAGAGAAAACTAGAAAGAGGCATAAATCTAGCAAGCTAAGAGAATAAATGCTTATGAAAGAGAGGGAAAATAAATCTACACTAAAGAAGATGGGAGAAAGGAGAGATCCACATTATCAAATCAGTAAGAAAAGAAAAGAGAAGCAGACACAATAAATTAAAAGGAATGAATATAACAAAGAAAGAGAAACAACCAAACAATGAAAGAGATGAGAGGTTAAGTGAGAAAAGAAGATCTATACTATTAAGTAGAGGAAACAAGAATGAGAAATGAATGCAACACTCTAAAAGAAATAAATGATATCAACAAAATGAAAATAATCATGCAATAAAGAAGATGGTAAGGGAAAAGAGAGTATCAAATCTACACTATGAGATGAACAAAAAGGGAAAGAGAAATAAATACAACAAATCTAACAAGAAACAAATGCAACAAGAAAAAGGAGCATAACTATAGGATAAAGAAAATGAGGGAAAGGGATGAGAGAGAAAAATCTACACTATCAAATAAAGCAAATATTGGAGAAAAATAAATGTAAGAAACCAAAGAAAATAAATGCAAACCAATGAAGGGAAAATGATCACGCGATAAGAAGATAAAAGGAGAAAAAAGGGATTAAATATAACTAACTAGAGGTAATAAATACTACATTAAAAGAAAAGCAAAAGAACATAAATAGAGTAGTGAATAGGGGAAAATAGGAAAAAATATAGGAAAATAATTCAAAGAAAAGTACATAAGAATCAAAAGAAAAGAAGAGAAAGGAAAATGACGATTTAGGCCAAGCGCCCGAGATTGGCGCCCAAAGTTGGTGCCGATTCAGATTATGTGGTTGCACAATCAATCTAAAACTTTTTCGGTTTTTAATGGGCAAGTAGAAATAGGAAGAAGAGGGCCCAAAAGGTTTGATTATCTGGACCGCATTCCATTTCAAGTGTAGCTTGAAGGAGTTTGTAGTTTTAGGTTTGGATTGAAGGGTATGGTAAGATGGGGGTTGCTCATGTGGGCTCACCTTGGGGCTTTTCTCTCAAGCTCAATCTTAGGATCAAGGCTAACAAAATTTGGGCATAACCTAAACTCAAAATCCTTAAAAATCTGGACCTTTTGAACGAGGTATAAGGGGCTATTTATCCGCAAAATGGACCCATGACAGCCTGTAGGTCGGTTTTGTGTAATTTTTTTGTCATCCAAACTTCAGCGACACTTGGATTGGTGCTGGCACTGGTTGGAATGTCGCCATATCATTAATGCAATAATAATCACAGACAGTAAATATTAATTGCTCATTAATGTGGCTTATGTACAACCTATCAAAATCTAACGCCACTGGCAATGGCGCTTGCGGCATTCTAACTGCCTTCAAACAATGTTCAGGACACGTGTCACGTTCTGGTGACTCTGATGTCGTTCAGATGGAACAATCACAACTTGAAACTATTCCAACTAGCGTCGGTGGCCTTCAAACTGCCGCCAGATACCAGCAGTCCCACCGTCTTGGTTGTACCTTCATCTGATCATCAACCGATGAGAATTCGACAACCTCAAGCCGTACTGATGTCTGACATGTCATTATGGGCTTGCCATGTCTGTAGGTACTGACTGACATCGCAGCCCATCACTTCAGTCACATCGGCCAGGCTGTTTCCTGCCTGATGAAGGTCTCGAGACCTGGCACTGGTTGGAAAGGTGCTGATGGTATTCGCACTGCCGCCAGGCTTCTGGCCATTCGAGAGCTCAAAAGGGGAGGCTCAAGCCTTGGCGCCCTTTGGATTGGCATGGGCGCCAGGTTTCTGGTCTTTTGGGTCACCCATGTGATGACTGAGGTGACTTTGGTATCTTGCCATCGGACTTTTGGTAGGGCTTTGGTGCCCATTGAAGTAACATCAAAGCCTTTCCTTCTGAATGCTTCATGGTCAGGTTGTTCTGAGTCTGTCTCGCCTTGTTTCGCCTCTTGATGTCTTTAGTCCCACTTGAGCAATAAAGGTTTGATGGAGGCTAGGTTAATAGAGAAGGGGTTCTGATGGGGCGAATGGTTTAAAATATCCGGATGGTCTGCCTAGGACATTTTAGCCTATCCATAATTTCTCCAATCGAGAGCAGGGTATCTACACCATGAGATTAGAAATCAGCCTCATTCCTCTGAAGAACACTCATATCCAAATCGGAACATGCCCTTTGTTATACAACAAACAAATTTAGCATCCAATAGAGGTAATCAGAAATGCAGAGGTAGGGGGAGAAACAACTTTGGTAGTCAACAGTTTTTCAACTCTCACGGACGAGGGTTTGTTCAAACTAGATAGATCAGTAATGTGAGTTATACGGTGCCTCAGAAAAATCAAGAAAGTAGTGGTCAAGGCCTCCAACAAGATTCACAGATGCAACAATCAACTCAAACACCCTTAGAAAGTTGTCAAATTTGTGGGAAATTTGGACATATTGTATTAAAGTGTTGGCACAGATTCAATCATATGTACCAAGAAAAAGACATTCCTCAAGCTCTTGCTGCAGTGACTATAGAAAATTCCCAATACTCGAAATGGTTCTCAGACACTGGTGCCTCAACTATTATGACAAGAGAACCAGGTAAAATGCAAAACCTTCGCTATTATAGTGGTAGAGATACAGTCATGGTCGGTAATGGGGAGCAATTGACTATTTCACATGTTGGTAATGTAAATATTAATCTTGCGTCAAAAAAATTTAATATTTCTAATGTTCTTTTGATGCCAGAGATGAAAAATAATTTACTATCAATTATTCAGTTTACAAAATATTTTCCATGTATTTTTTAGTTCTCATCAAATAGTTTTGGATTTAAGGAAATGAGCACAGGGAGAACTCTAGCCAACGGAAATAGAAATGATGGACTTTATGCACTTGAGGATGTCATGAAAGCTTTATTTTCTAATCAAACTAAGAAAACATCACTAAGTGTGTGGCATCAACGACTCGGACATCCTCAAAATAAAGTAGTATGTTTCTTAGAATCGAAACAATTAATTAATGTTGATTCATGGAATAAATTTCATTTTATTTGTGCTAGTTGTCAGATGGGAAAAAGTTGTAAACTCCTGTTTAGTAGTATTGATAAGACCTCTACAGAATCTCTTTTTAAGATTCATTCAGATTATGGGGTCGTGCTTCAGTTTTATCCAATCGAAGTTATCACTTTTATGTGGTATTTGTGGATGATTACACTCGTTTTTCTTGAATTTATCCTTTGAAAGAAAATTTGACTTTTTCTCTGCATTTGTGAAATTTCATCATATGGTTGAAAGGAGATTTGAGAAACGAATTCGAATTTTTCAATGTGATGGATGTGGTGAATTTGCTAAGAAAGAATTTATTGCTCATCTTACTAGGAAAGGAATTGTGCAATAGATATCATCTCCAGGAACCCCTGAACAAAATGGAATAGCAGAAAAAAATATAGAAATATTGTATAATTGGGTCTTACAATGATGTTTCATACAGGAATTCCTAAACAGTTTTGGGTTGAAGCTTTCTATACCACAGTCTTTGTAATAAACAGGATTCCCTCGACTAATTTGCAAATGGATTCACCATATTATTTGTTGTATAGTCACCTACCATATTATTCTTCGCTGTCGATGTTTTCTGTACTTTCGAGACTAAGCTGCCAATAAATTTTGTCTTTGTTATCTTCCATGTGTATTTTTTATTTACAGTATTCAACATAAGGGTTACATATGTCTACATCCACCCACAGGGTGAGTCTATATCTTTATACATGTTGTATTTGATGAAAATATATATCCTTATGCTAACCCCAATTCTCTGTTTGATAGTGCTCAAGTTTAGGAGAAGAGGTCTACCTATGAAGAATGGTCAAAGTGTTATAAGCCTAAAACACATGCTCCTTCCTCTTCTGATTCATCACCTTCACATAAACCATCCATATGGGACACCTTTAATGTATCTAGTCCCTCAGGTCTTGTTTACCCATCACCAATGGTAGCTCTCGAGCTTCTCTTATAGAAGATGTCCCCATTGCAACATCAATTCAAGATGTCCTGGATGATGCAACACACAATCGTGGTGAAGAAAATGTTGTCACTTAAGAAACCGAGCAATCCAAATTTTTAACCTGACTCTAGGCATTCTTGTCATTACATGATGACAAGATCTCAAGATGGTATCGAAAACTTTATATTCTCCCATCCATGGCAATTATCTCAAGTGCTCCTACTTTTGAAATAATCCCTTTTAAACCTAGATCCATTGAATATGTCTTGGGTCATCCGGGTTGGCATCGTGCAATGGAAGAGGAAATTTAAACCTTACATGTTAACTCAACTTGGGAGCTAGTTCCACGTCTTTCAGGTATGATTATTGTTAGTCGTCTTTGCGTTTATAAGACTAAATTAAAATCTGATGGTAGTCTAGAGAGACTTAGGGCCAGACAAGTTGCTAAAGGATATAATCTGGCTGCTGGAATTTATTTCTTTGAAACATTAAGTCATGTTATTAAGCCTGCTATTATTCGGATTGTGCTCACCATAGCTATTGCGCACCACTGGTCTATCAAACAGCTTGATGTAAAACATGCTTTCCTGCATGGCTTTCTTAAAGAAGCTGTATTTATGGAACAACCTCCTGGATATTTTTAGCTCAAAATATTATAATCATATATGCAAATTAAAAGAGTTTTATATGGTCTCAAGCAAGCACCACGGGCCTGATTTAAATTATTTAGTGCCTATTTATTATCATTGGGATTTTATTGTAGTATAGTTGATTAATCTCTATTTGTTTCTCGTACTACTCAAGTATTATTATCTTTCTCCTTTATGTTGATGATATTATTATAACTGACGATAATTCAGATCTTCTAGAATGATTCATTTCCCAACTTGGAAGGGAATTTATAATAAAACATCTTCGACCTCTTCACTACTTTCTTAGCATATATGTATCTTATTTTTTAGGTAGACTTTTTCTATCGCAAAGCAAATATGCTCGGGATCTTCTAAGTCGTGCTCAGATGCTTGGTGTCAAACCTATTTCTACACCAATGGCAATGAAAAATAATATTCATGAGAATTCTATTTCATTTCATGATTCATCCCTTTATCAGAGCATTGTTGTTGCACTCCAATACATTACCATAACACAGACTGATCTTTCCCATAGTGTTAATACAGTATGTCAATTTATGCATGTCCCTACAATTGCACGGTTTCAGGCAATGAAGCAGATTCTTCGTTATCTCAATGGTGCACAATCCTGTGGTATAAAAATCTTATCTGATAGTTCCCTTGAGTTATATGCTTTCTCTGATGCAGACTGGCTACATGTCCAAATACTCTCCGTTCAACCACTGGTTTCTGCACCTATCTTGGTTCCAATTGCATATCTTAGAGTGCTAAGAAACAATCCACTGTGGCTCGTTCAAGTGTCGAAGCAGAATACCGATCTATGGCATCCATTGCTACAGAATTGACATGGTTGTCTTTTATTCTTTGGGATATTGTGGTGCTTCTTCCTCAGCCACCAACACTTTTTTGGGACTAAATTAGTGCTCCCTATGTAACAATTAATCATGTTTTTCATGCCCAGACAAAGCACATTGAGTTAGACTATCATTTTGTGTGTGAAAAGGTTGCTCTTGGATTACTTATCACTTGATTTGTTTCCTCTCGTAATCAAGTAGCGGATATCTTCACCAAGCCTTTTCCATGAGATGTTTTTCGAGATCTTTACTTCAAACTCGGGATTCTAATGCCTCCTCAACCGAGCTTGAGGGGGAGAAATAAAAAAAAAATTCAAACAAGATAGGAAAGTGACTTATTATTTCCTTTTGAGGAGAATGTAGTAAGATAGGAAATTGTATATTGCATGTAACAAGATAGGAAAGTTACACTATTATATTATCATTATATATACAACGAAAGAACAACCACAAGAATAGTGTGGGGCATAATTATTTTCTCAAAAAATTCCTCTCTAAATTTTCTTTAAACTGAGTTGTTATAATCAAATAATTAAAAAAAAATTTAAAGCACAATTCTTACTACCTTTGCTCGGCCAATATTTGGAAGCTGATCTAGCATCGAAAAGAAACTACCACTCTTGCTACATAATTCCGACTCAGCCTTCTCAACTTCCTGACCAAAAAGTAAGATATAATGTTAGGTAATGTAATGTCCAAGAGAAAAGAAATTTTTTGCTCAATTAGTTACAAAATAACGTCAGAATAATTTTCCAAATGCAATTTGGCACAATTCATTGTGTTGAAGCATAAAACTGTAAGCTTTTTGGTTTTGAGAAAACTAGAATTATAAAATCTTTGATATTAAATAGAAAGTAGGGAAATTTGCATATATTCTATTATATTTTTTGGAGTTTAAAAAAAGTGTCCCTAATTTTTTATAATCTAGTATATTATTATTTTAGCCCTTTTTTTCTATAAAGTAGATTGAGCTCAAATTTTAGGGGTTCAAACTTAAATAAATAAAATGGCCAATATAACCAAAATAGCCCTAAAATTTCTATGGATATTTTTGGAATTTTCATTTTTGTCTAAAGAACTCTATATTTTTTAAACAAATGAGTGATGATAAGAAGTATGAGTACACGAATTTTGAGCTCAATCCAATATATAATAAAGATAAATTAAAATACGATGTATGCTTTTTAAAAAGGACATGGATGAAAAAATAAAATATTGGGGGTAATTTCAAAATTTTATGCAAGGGATATTTACCTAAATGTTTTCCTTTTTTTCCTTTTTTTTTTTTGGGAATCGGTCATGGCTTGATTGGTTAATTTTTCTAACTTATAAACAAAAATTTTCTCCCAGTTAACTTTTTTTTTTTTTTTGGGAAATTACTTCCACAATCTCTAAGTTAACTATTTGCCGTAAAGTCTATAAATGTGGGAAAAAAAAGACCAGAAAATAGAGTTTTAAGAATGTTCACCTCAATGGCCCATAGGACCATACTCGAGAACTCGATTAAACCAATATCACGATCCATAGAATTTTCAGTACTCGAATCAGCATCTACACCAATGGGGGCACCAAGAATACACCGCTCATGCATGGAAGCAATTGCATCACGTACACAATCTTCAGGCCTAAGCTCCGGCACTAACAATTTTTTTTATTTTATTTTTTTTAATGTTAACGGTAAGAGCCCCATATATACAGTACAATAAAGAGGAAGAAGTAGAGGAATACAAGCTAACTGTGTACATCAACATCGTCAAAAGAGAGCGAAATTTCAAAAAATTAAAATAAATAATAAAATAAATAAATAATAATAATTGTTAAATGTCCCGGTCCCTCGATCAGGTATTGACATTTCTAAAGCTCGGTACGGCTTCCATGATTCTTTCCTTTATAATTCAAAAAAAAAAAGAGAGAGAGATATGATAAAATCCAATACAATCCAAAAGGAGTTTGTTTCAATTTGGGAAGGAAAACAAAGCAATTCGGTGTTTTGGCCTATTCGAGAAAGATTTTGGAAAATTTTTTAATTTAATATAAATAAATAAAATATTTATATAAAAATAATTAAAAGTTATAAATAAAATTTTCAAAAATAAAAATAAGTACTTTTATATAGATATTTATTTGCTTCAGCCGGATTGGCCAGCTGACCGAAACAGCAGCAACAAACTTCGTTTCGCGTCGGTCTACACCTAAAATCCGAATGCTTCAGCGTAACTAATCTGAGGGTGAAACCAAGAAATTTTGGCTTTCCAAAAACCAAGCAAATTACCTTCTTTTGTTAACCTTAACCCAAGCAAATTACCTATTTATTGAGAAAAAACTCATATAAGCAACTAAAAAACAATTTCCCAATACCTGCAATTACCATATATCTGAAATACATCATTTCTAACTTTAGATTTCAATGAAAATTAAAATAAAATTATTGAAAAACCCCAAAATCGCTTATTCAAGTTGACCTATAAGTTGCCCAAACAAATTGAAATTGTCAAATAAAATTGCCCACGATGCTAGTTTTCTGTGTAAAGTTAAACCCAAAAATCCTCAATTCTCAAATTACAAAACTGGCACAGGCACAAAATAAATTATTAAAAGATGAATTCCATAATCTCATGAAAGCCATCTATTTTCCTCAGTTTTTTTTCCCTGTTTTTTCGTTTTCCTTTTCTTTTCTTGCGTTTTTCTTAAGTCTAAGCTTTTAAGTTCTTAACTTGCATAATGACAATTAAGTAAAACCCAAGTTACAAAACACCCCTATATTTTCAGGTAAATTCTAAATTAAGTTTATCTAAATCTAAAAATAATGAAAAAGGAAAACAGATAGTTGGAAAGGAGCAAAAATGAAAAATCTACCACTATTTCACCCAGAAAATTAAAAATATAAGAAAAACTAACTACCTGAAGAATTATGAATTCCTGGAATCACGTAGAGAGGAATGTGATCGAGAAACAGCTGAATTGCGTTATCCGTTGCCCCCTGTTTTTCATAATTATTGTGAATTTTCTCAAAATTTTCTTTAAATCCATCTTCTTCATCTGAATTTCTTTCTTCTGTTTTCTTCATAAAACTCTCTAAATCCCTTCGATCCATCCCCAAAGAAATGCAGATTTTGTTGCTTTTTTTTTTCCTTTTATCGCATTTTTATTTTGCTATTTTCACTTAAACTTTTGCCCCTTCTTTATTTGTTTCCACTCTCGTCACCCTTGTGGTGAGGAAGAGGAAAGAGCAGGTCAGGAGGTCAGCCAACAATGCTGGGTTGGGCACTTGTTGGCAGGAAAACAATCCACGTACCATAAATTTGACAGGTGGATGGATTTGGGAGGTAACGTTGGCCTAGTAACGGTCGTATTTAACAGCTGGTTCAGGCATTATCGATGTTATATCTACTGCCGGTTCAGGCATTAATGTTGTCATATCCACGACCTATTCAAGCATTCTCCATATTCTTGTTGTCTTCGGAGGAAAAATTTTGGCTTTTTTTTAATTTAATATAAATAAAGGTAATTATCGGAAATATATTTTAATTTTTTATTAATTGAAAAAAGAATATCAATTTTCATAAACTTCGTTTACACAATTTTTCTTCATTTTCAAATTTATTTATTTTTTTTACTAAAATAACCTTCACAGTAGTCGTTTTACCGTAATACATATCGCAAGTTTTATGGCAATTAAAGTATCGTAATAACTTGAAGTAATATTACGATACTTTAAGTATCATAATAGATAACATTTTTTTTACGGCATTCTTTCTACCATAATAAGTTAAAGTTTTACTATGGCAATCGAAATGCTGTAAGACTTTCACACGTTATAAACCCTAACCCGAAGCTCATTCTTTCTTTACGGTTCTTGTTCTACCGTTATAGAGCTCTCAACCTTTGCGGTTCCCAACCTTTGCGCTCAATCTCTCACCAATCTCTCACGGGTCTCCCTCCCTCATCAGATAATCGATTGTATTGTTTGAAAGATTGATAAATAATAGATGATACAATAGCAAATGAATGAGAGAGATAGAAAATGGATGAGAGAGAGAGGAGGCTAAACAAGAAAAAAAAGCTAAAGAAATCGTGAAAATAGGATTTTATGAAAAAAAAGGTAAAAAAAAAGTGGGATAAAATTACGGTTATTTTAATACCGTATAATATATGTAAAGTATTACGATAGTTTGAGTACCGTAATTGGATATTATGACATTACGGTAATTAAAGTACCGTATAAAATGTGTTAAGAATTACGGTATATAAATTACCGTATAAAATTTGCTAATCATTACAATATTTAAATTACTGTAATGTTTTTCACTATAATACGATTACCGTGAAGATCATTTTGATCCAAAAAACTAGAAAATAATGAGAAAGGGTGTAGACGAGGTTTTTGGAAGTTGAAGGTTTTTTTCCAATTAAGCTAAAGTATATGTAGATTTACAATAATTTCCCTATAAATAAATTAGATATTTATATATAAAATATAAAAATTTAACAAAAAAACAAAAACTTGTATATCAATATTTCATTGCTCAGGCTAAAGATGTCGAAGTTTCGACCGAATCTGACCGAAACAAACACTAATATGACCAAAACAGCCCAAAGCAAACCGAATCTCACCGAAACGGCAGCACCAAACTTTACTTTCGTCTAGGTGTAAAATTCGAAGGCTTTGGCATCTTCGGCGAAGCAAACCGAATTTGCCATCATTGGGCATTATGGACTAAGAAGAGAGATGTGGAGGTGAGAAACAAATGCCCCCACCCCACAATTTTATAGGGAAAAAGACGTAGACGCCCTTCCCCGGTCACATAAAAGCCCATGACCCCCTTAATTTAAACAAAAAAAAAAAACATGTTTAACTTCTTTCTCACCATTTTTATTGTCTAGATTATAGAATTTATACTTCTATTTTTTTCTAATAGCTTCATAATATAACTTTTTTTTCTAATAACTTCATAATAAAAGTGTAGAATTAAGGTGCACATCAAAAATCCCTCATAAAATATTGTTTTGATGTTGGAAAACCTTCTAATTGATCATATCGACATCGAGATGAATGAATATGAAAAGAAAAAAAGATTTCAAGTCCTAAAAATAGTGTATCTTGCAACACATTCTAGACCATCCATTTTCAAGATTTTCAAGTGCTTAGAGATTTATTTGATTGAAACCATATTTGGAGTTTAAGATTTTATAATTAAAAATGAAAATAGATTCTCAATCCATGCTAAAAATGTTTTATACCAAAATTATATTTATGATAAAATTTGGAGATAGGCTTGAGTTTGATTGTTTAATGTTACAACCATAATACAAACCACACCTATAAACTAAGGGATTGTATATAATGAGACCATTTACCTTTTATGCAAGGAGTAACAATTACATATAACCACTTGATGTGAAATCTGATAGCTTAGGTCAGTCACAAAGTTCAAGAAAAATTCTTTTGAAGTTTGAGCATGGTTAATGGAATAAATGCAACTATCCAATTTCACATCCAATGGCCAAGATTAATTGTGGCCACCTTGTACCAAAGATAAACAATCTCATGGTATACTTTTCCTTTAGATAATAGGGTGATTAAGAAAAGAATGGTAAATTCGGTATTTTGGATAATAGAAAACGTTAGGTAGGGGTTAAACATTGTTTTTTGTCAAACTAAGGGGTTTCCTATGATGATTATTATTTGGAATTATAATTTTAGAGAGGGCGTTTATGTCCCTATTTCATATTAATGTGTGGCCCATTATTTTGGTTAAGGCTTTGATATATACTCATTTCTTTAGAATAGGGCCTACTCCATAAAATGTGGGCTGAGGGCAAGCCCTGGCTATCACGGCCCATGGCTAGGACCAAGTTGGGCCTGGGCCTAGGCCCTTTCAGTTTAGCCCGGGCCAGCCCTTTTTTCTTTATTTTTCCCTTTATTTTATTCGGTTCTATTTGACTTGGCCCTGATAGGACTAGGGCTGGGCCTAGGCCATGGTCTCTTTGACCATATCAGAGCGAAGCTAGGGTCAAGGTGGGCTGGCCCATTGCCTACCATAATTTAGACAAGGATAGATTTTGGATCATAAATTTTAGCACTTGAAAATTAATTGAATACAAATATAACAAATATATTTTAAAATAAAAAAATATATTTTTTATAATAACCGTCTAATTTGGATTTTGGTGCTGCCACCATTTTTCCGCATGCATCAAGGAACGCTTTATGAAACTGTCCCTTGATTGATGAAATACTTTTTGTTTTACTTTTACTATTGAGCACGTACACTATGCTCCTTCAAGAACGTAATTTACTTCTACTCCCTCGATCAAGATAGAAGATTTTTTCAATTTCAAATTTTGCAAACCGTTTAAGAACTAGTAGATTATTTTTCTAAAACAAAATTAAAAATTGAGTCTTCTAACATAGATCACCATCTAAAAATTAGATGGTATCTATTCAATCGCAAGACATTAATTTTTTAAGTGTATAGAGGGTACAATTAGGAAACTCTTTTTATTGATATTAATCTATGGGTTGAAGAGGTTACATTCCTAAAATCTGAGATCCTAAAATTAATTCTGAGTGCGGTATCTTTTGATGTAAAATGTAGAAGGAAGATAATCTCAGTAATCATAATCAAATCCAAAAAATTAAAATTAAAATTTTAAAAATGGATCATCTTAAATTTTAAATTTTGATACTTTGGAACTTTTATTTTAATTCTTTCAATAGGCATTCTTGTAAAAATGCTATATATTGATGTATTTAAAACCTATCCCCTAGTTTTCATATTTTAGCTCATGTATTATTTTTTCTTGATTCTTTTTTTTTTTTTTACCCAAAGTATCCATGTCTCCAAACTTCAAGTTTCAAAATTGTCGTTTTTTAGAGGAAATATTGATTTAGAACTTCAATTTTTTAAATGACTTTTTTCCAAAATTAAGCACTTCAGGATTTGAATTTCTGAATTGACTTTAGTGAAAATTAAGTGATATGCTTTGAATCAAGGATGCTTAAGTAGTTTCCTAGTTATTAAATTCTTCGAAAAGTTATGAACAAGTAGACAAGTGCCCTAAGGTCGTAACTTCAACTTCCAAGCTTGACACTTTCCTAATTTTTTAGTGAATAAGATTTTCAAAACTTCAGGTTTTGAAATGCTTAAGTTTCAAAAAATTCAATTCAAAACTTCAAGTTTTGAACCCCTATATCAATCAAGAAGAAAAAAACAATGGTTTGGTATTTGAAGTTCTAAACTGAGGATAATTGGGGAAAAGATTCTCAAAAAAAGACGTGAGTATAAAATATGAAAAATAATGAATATTTTTTACGTAATGTAAAATATATAGGATAATTATGAAGATATTCATTCTTTAAAAAAAAAATAATTTTAATATTTAATTCTATTTTTTTCATATCTATGATAGTAGTGATTAAGATTATCGATCTGTGAAATTTTAGATCTAAAGTCAACCTCTACAATGAATTCTGGAAAGAGACAACATATGAATATGGACACACCAAATATTTTCTTGATAAGATAATCAAATGAAAATTTTTCTTGATTAATTGAAGAATGGAAAGATGATCAATACTAGAATAGGAAAGCAAGATAAGGAGAAGATAAGGATTTAGAGCCGCTTGATCACTCGCTTCTATGATGACATGGAACTTTCTAATTTTGGGGGGTTAAATTGATGATGGATCATGGGCCAAGTATAGCAAAGCTGAGAAAGAAAGGGTAATAAAGGGGAAAGGATAGAGTTTTGGTACGTCAAGCAAATCAATTATTCATATGTGGTCTCTTTCCAAAAACCTTCTTAGAGATGGCTTTTACACCTAAAACTTCATGGGTCAATAGTTTTGACCACCACAACCATGAGTATGATAAAAAATTTGAACTTTAAAAATAAACTACTTTAAACTTTGCTTTTGGAATGTTCAATAGAATTTTGAGTTGATTTTCACATTGACACTATTTTTCTGAACTGCAAAATCATGCATCTAAAGCTCTAGAGTCAATTAAAACTTTTTTTTAGATATGAAATCCATCTCTGAGATAGATTTTTAAAAAGGGATTGCATAACATTTTAAGAGCAAACCATTATGAAGGACTTTATTTATGGTGATGTAGGGGTAAATTGATGAGTAATGAGATGCTCGTTATACCTCTATCTGACGAGGAGGGGG